TAAGTGTCGAGGCCATAAAGATATGGGAGGAAGTGACCCCAATCTGCTAGCCTTCAGAACAACCTCTAGCTGCTCTGCCGATATCTCTGCATTCTGTGAAACAATAACTTTCAGAAGATCAAACGGGGTGCCCGGAACTCTGACTAGCAACCAATAGGTCATCAGGAAGATAAACTTCCCCCAATAATAAGGAGGATCCCAAATTTATGCCAATTTTAGCCAATCATTTGTTAATTGCTGTATCTCTGTGTAAGAAACATGTATAAAATCTTCTTTGGGTGTGACCGGGGTTCTTCTCTGCCTTAAGGGTAGATCCCAGCTGGTTCTATTGGCCTGCTTTCAATAAAACTTTAAAATCTCAGCTGGTGTTTTCGTGTCCAATCTTCTGCCGGAATGAATCCTAATTGAGGAGAGTCAGAAACTCTCAAATTTTGCTAATACGGAAACATGAGAGGGAATCTGGGGTTGGATTACTCCCTCTGAGAGTTTCCTTACAGGTTTTCTGATGCTTTTACCAGCAAAGGGTTTCATGTCGCTGCACCTTTTACTATTATTACTTTGGGGAGTGGGTGACAAAAACATTTTGCTTACTCCATTTTGGATTCAGCAGCATTCAGTAAGGTGTTGTTATGCACAGACCAATCTCATTTGTATGCTCCTGGCTGCGTATTGGCTATTTCTCAGAGCTGCCAACCACGAGGCCAGAACTGGATTTCTCGGTCACACGTTGCCTTCATTACTGCTCCTTCGTCTGCTTTGCCCTGTGCTCCTCCTCTGGGCTTGTTACCTGTGGTACCATGGTTATTTTTAACCATGGACTTAGTGCTTTCTCAGAAGACCCCTGGACTGAAATTCAGAAGCAGCTCAACTGACAGATCCAGAGGAGGGGCATGCATAAAGTGGGAGTGAGCTTCTCCCAATACAATGGGTTTAACTTTTAGGAAAAGAACCTTATTCCATTCTGGCTTGGAGGCACTCGGTGATGACTTGTTATTGCTACAAAATTCGTAGTCACCCTGGCTGGTCAATGTTCCCAGAACCAGTGTCCTAAAGACGCAGTTCTTACAGCTGTTTCTGTAATGCACTGTCTTTATTTATGATGACCAGGGGAGTGCCAATTTGCCTACTCCACTCTAGCTTTGGTAGTACTAGGTGCCAATTACAGCTGCATGATTCCAGAAGTCCACTGTAGCATGTGTATTCTCCATGGCTGTTGCTGGTGTACTGGTTGCCTAGCTGTTCTGCAGTGGGCTTCACAAGCTCTAGGATCTCATCTTGGCTTTTTGCAGCTGGTGCTGGAGTTCCCAAGGTTTTTAGTCTTGGATGTCTTCAACCTTCATGGCTTGGGAAAGGGGTCTGGTGTAGTTTTTGTGCTCATGACCTCCATGGCAAACATGAACTTGTCACATGTAATTGCAACCCTAACTTTTGTGAGGACACAAACTAGATCTTGTCTTTATTTTGAAGCAGATGAGATGTGATCTGAAGATGGAAAGCATTAACAGTCCTTTGGGATACAGTCTGTCCTTTGGGACCCTTTGGACCTCCACAAGGGTGGGGGATTAGTTAGAGTCATCCATCCCATGCACCTGTTGGATACAGAAGGCATCCAGAGGGCACTTAGGGATGTGGCACACAGTTGCATCTCAACCTAGCCAATCTGTGGAACGCAGAGATGGCCAGAGACCTTAATGAGATTATCCCAATGAGGCTTTTCCCCAATCATTGATTCAAGTAGTTCTTTAGTATACTGGAGAGCTGAGATAAATGAAGTGACTGAAAAGAGATCTAAAACAGTGATGGTGGAAAACCAGAAGCAGATAAGACCAAACACTAATAAAAGTTCATGTTTGAGCCTACACAGTGGTGATAAGAATTGCAATGTGGCAGTTCTTCTCTGCACTTATTTCATCTGCAGTTTTCTGCTTGGTGGGCCTGTACTGAGTTATACATAACCTTTTAGGGAAAGATGGACAGGAGAAGGAAACTGCAGGCATGCTGGATGAATTTGCAGGTTTCTTGGCAAATAATTTCACTTGATAGGGATTTCTTTAATTTGAATTTTGCCAATTGTGAGTTGGGTCCGTGCCCCTCCTTGCTCCTTCAAATAGCTAGGTAGGACATGGATGGTTGCATCCAGGAAATATTCAATGCTTCTCTAAGGGAGGGAGTAATGCCACCTTACTCTGAAAAAAGCAATAGTCATCCCTGGATTTGGCTATGTTAACAAACTTTTCCTAGGGTCCAACCTCCCTATTTTAGGGAAAGTAGTTGAAAAGGTGGTGGGGAATCAGCTACAAAAGACCCTAGAGGAAAGGGAGTTCCTAGATCCTTTTCAGTTAGGATTCTAGTCATGGGACAGAAATGATATTAGTCATGGTGGTGGATAGTCTTCATTGGGACCTAAATGGGGGACTGTACTTCTCAGGGTCCTATTAGACCTTTTACTCTTGGCTCCTACTTGAGCAGCAGGTGAATGCCCAGCTCTAGCTGGGGTGCCCCTTGTGACCTTATTTGGACCAAGATGCTCTAATGTAGGTAATTAATATCCTGAACTATCCTCTTGGAATATTTCAACTGCTCTACACAGGGAGGTCTTTGGAGATGACTCAGAAGCTGCAGCTGGTATAGAATCCAACAACTAAATTCCTGGTGGGATAACCCTGACAGTTTAGAGTAACAACAATTTTAAAGACACTGCATTGATTGGCAGTAGTCTTCCAGATCCAGTTGAAAGTGCCATCAAGTCCTTTATGATGTTACTAAAATTGAACCTGCCTATCATGTCTGATCATCTAGAAGAGAACCTGTTGAGAAGTACAGTATATGACAGGTATATGGCAAGATAACAGGATTTTTCTGTGGTATCCCCACTCTTTGGAAGAACCTCCCTCCAGAGGTATGTGTGACTCTATCCTGTTAGTATTTTGTAAACAAATAAAGCTGTATTATTTTAATGATCCTTTGGCCCTAGTTGCTTTGACCTGAAAATGTCTTTCATAGGTATTTGGATTACAGGATTTTTACTATCATATTGGCTTTGTATTTTGTTACTGTGTTACAGAATGCTACTCAGGGTCCTTTTGGATTTGGGATGGGTTGTAAATACTGCTAATAAAGAAGCAAATAAATAAATATATCTCTGCAGTCTCAAGGTTGTAAAGAGGGGAAAAACCCCAGAAAGCTCTAGACTGTCATGATGCTAGTTTAGAAACCAAAATGGAGATTGAAGATTTCAGTGCAACAGCCAATTAATTTAAGAGGTACAACTGAGTCAAAATAGTTGTAAATATATGCAGAAATGTAAACTAATTTATACATGATGTCGAATTTAGGATTTTTTTGGCACAGAATCTTCATGGTTGTTTGAAGCAAAGAAAGAAGGCTTTCATGCTGTGCCTTGTTTCCATTGTATCTACAGATTACATAAATGTACAGATGGGCGTACAATAGTTATGTATTGTTAGATATAAAGGTTTTATCATATGAACTAGTCCTTCGTGTGATTGTTACTTCATTTCAGTCTTTGTTTTGGCTTTCATTGCTAATTACATGTATATTTTTTATTTGACCAACACCTTGCCAGTTCCCAAATCTGACCCACGGTTTCTTATTTCACTGTATAAATGTTTCAAGGGTCAACATACCTGGGCTAATCCATATTTAAATCCCATTTGAGAAGATCATATTTCTAACAAACTACCTGAAAAAATCCCTTGAGAGGTATGCCTGAGTTTGCATCCTGAAATGCCCCTGTTAAAACATAAATCAGCACAACAGGACAGGAAATGCCATCATCTGCCAGTCTCCAGCCATACATTCACACAACCCATACTATTTCCTTAGAAATCGAAGCAAAGAGAAAGACAAGGACAAGAATGGCTAAATTGCCCTTTACTCACCTGTAAAACTGGTGTGCTGAAATGCACTGGGGGATTGGGAGTTTGATAGAAGTTGTAAGCAGGATGCATTTTCCCAGCAGTATCACCCTGGGGCAATGTTGGTGTTCTGGGCTTTTGGTTTGGGATGTAATGACACCGTTGGAGCTTTCCAGGTGAAACGTAGCCTCTTGGACCTGCATGATACATAAGACAGGTAAGGTCACGTTGAACGCTAGATTGCTGACAAGAAGTAGAGTTCTCCCTTGTTGTTTATCAGCTAGCAGATGGCTAAAACGCAACTCCAATGAAAGCAGCATGAACTTGACATAACTGGAAAATAATGGTGTAGAAAAAGTGATTGATATTGAAAGGGATGGACAAGAAAGCAGCATTTAGTGGAGGAAAGAAGAGAGGATGTGTGGGATGTACTAGTGAAAGGATGTGATTTTTGCAAGAGTTTTTGGCAGGATGTAATCTGTCCTATTTTAAAATCAAGGCCAGGAAGAGATATTTTTGAATACATTAAAATTTTACATTCAGATAAAAATCCTAAGTTACAGTGGCAATAGCCAAATTTTAACTATGGCTATAAAAACAAGATTTTTACTAATACATTGTTTGCATTTTTAGATGTTTAATATAATATATATCAACTTATTTTATCTCAAATTGTTTTATTTTATACTAAATGTTTTGATTATATCTGAACTTTCTTATTTGGGTCTTTGGACATAATAAACATCATACCATACTGCACTGCACTGCACTGCACTGCACCATACTATACCATACCATACCATACCATACCATACCATACCATA